GGACTGGGATTGGGGACCCCTGATCTACAGTAACATTGTAGCACTCCTACCCTTTTATTCAAACAGCCTGCTTTCAGTAATGGTGACCACAAACACTTACCAACAATGCCATGGCCACGGTTAGAAAAACTGCTGACACGGCCATTCCCATCAGACCAATGAGGTGAAGGGGTCTCCTGCCCATACGCTCCACCACAAACAACTACAAGACATACAGATGTTACAAAATGACAACATAAACCAAACATAATACCAGTATTCACAGTGGAGGTAATATCAATGGATCATAACTGTAATCCATTAAAAAAAAATTTAATATTTAAAATGCCCAAAGGAAACCATCATAAAAACAGTAATATAATCATCTACTGTTCAACAGTACTTAAAAAATCCCCCAAAATATATGGAATAAAACTTAAAACTCATAAAACTCAGTGCAACATGATGTACCCACAACCCACGCAGCCAGTCCAGGAACTGGCAAAGATGGTAGCAGAGCTAGCCTCTATGCAGCAGAGCAGGTGGTGGTGAACCAGCACCAGCTTGAGATGCTACGTTCAGTCCAGTATTCTGTGTTGCTGAGAGGAATATATAGCGTTCTAGTAAGATGCCAAGGGGGTTCACGAGAGCCACAAGTGGACTTGGGCTTCACGCAAACCTTAATTCACCAAACCACAGATAGGACATGTGATGCCTGTGCTGCGCTCAGTGACTCGAGGTCATCGGACACTGACTCCAGCATATAATGACTCCATTATATGTTATAATGTTACACATTAAAAGCACAAGATTGTGCCAGAACTTCTGTGATGCCATATTTCATTTAATAAAATCAGATTTCCTTTCTCTTATTCATTGGGTAGTTTCACTTGGTGTTGGCTCTCTCTGCGACACAGTGTCACTTCCTGTTCCTGTTGCAATGCACAGTGGTGTTTTGTGTTGTTTATCTGTGTAGCCCATTTCATTGAAACTTTTAGATAACATCTTATTTCATATTATCCATCCATCAATCCATCCATCGATCCATTAATCTTCTTCCACTTATCCGGGGCTTGGTCGCGGGGCAGCAGCCTAAGTAGAGAAGCCCAGACCTCCCTCAACCCCAGCCACCTCCTCTAGCTTGTCCGGCGGAACACTAAGGCAGCGGTCCCCAACCCCCGGGCCTCAGACCGGTACCGGTCCGTGAGTCGTTTGGTACCGGGCCGCGAGAGTTGAGGCTCAGGTATGAAATGTATAGTTTTCAGGGTTTTTATCGGTTTTCAGCGTTATTTTGTTATCGTTTTTATCATTTACTCTGTTTTCCTGGGTCTTTTCACGTGTGTTAAGAATACATTTTCTTTTTTTTCGGTACCGGTACTAGTTTTATTTTGTTGACACCTTAAAGGCCGGTCCATGAAAATATTGTCGGGCATAAACCGGTCCGTGGCGCAAAAAAGGTTGGGGACTGCTGCACTAAGGTGTTCCCTGGCCAGCCGAGAGATATAATCTCTCCAGTGTGTCTTGGGTGTGCACCGGGTCCCGTCCCGGTGAGACATGCCTGGAACACCGCACCCAGGTGGCGCCCAGGAGCAATGTTCCCTCTAAGCTGCGCGCATGCATAATTGCGCACTGCTGGCACGGTCTCTGCGCACAGAAAATCTAACCTGAATTGAAATTAAAATTAATACTTTAACAATTCTGTTTTGTAGTGTTAGTCAGTGAGTGACTGGCTGCTCCAGTATGGGATTACAACGATGTCACCTTATCCCATAGTCCAGCCAATTATGCGATTCACATTCGTATATAGGCAGCTAATCAACTTCGTCTATGACAGCGTCCTTATGTGCCGACACCGGTGCTTTAGCTAGCAAAGTGGCGTGGCTGATGTGGAGTGAAGCCACGTTAATGACAACGTGTACAACTATTGGACATGTGAGCAGGACAGGAACAATTGACGGAAAAAGTGTGGACTTTATACCAGTTTTTAAATTGTGTTGATAGGCCACGTAAAACCAGAGTTATGATAAAAATATATGCAATGTTTGGTTTTCTTCCTGAATACTATCATTCTTTATATTTACTGCGGGAAGAAACGCTCAAAGCCAAATCCAAGAAAAACCCCCACCCTTTCCTATTGGTCGTAAAATGTACCATGTCGACCAATCAGAAAATGTTATGGCAACATGGCACATAGTTGTTTAGGGAGGGGGAAGTTTTAGGAGTGACTGCGGTGTTTTGAGATGTGAGAGATTTGCGACATTTAGGGCAAATCTTGTGCAGTTAGTGTGTAGTGTAGTAAATAGTTTTGTTGTGTGTGTCAGAACAATACGGCGACTACTGAATGTTACAGGTGTTACAGGAGTGATACATCTCCTGTTGTCAGGCCTGCAGGTATCAGGCTTTTGATGTTCTCCTTTATCTCATAGTGGACAGAAATTATTTTTGGAGTGGCACAAATAATTTGTGTGGCATCAAATTTGATGCAGAACAGCTGATTGTTCTGTAAAAAGTTTAAAATGTTTATTTTAAAAAACGCCTTGGCTGCATTTTTAGGTAAACTGCTGTAAAAAACTTTGTTTGCATAACTCAGTTACTTTTTTGAAGAAGTAACAATATAATTAATTGCCCAGCATTGCTCATTATATCTGTATCTATGAAGCACCTTGAGGCGACTTTTGTTGTGATTTGGCGCTATATAAATAAAATTGAATTGAATTGAATATACTGTATTTTGCAGACAGAGAGTTACAGGACTCTCTCCCAGACCACAGACTCATAATACAAGTCAGAGCTTTATAAAAAAAGAAAGAAAGAAAGAAAGAAAGAAAGAAAGAAAGTTTTGTTTTCAAAATTGGAGTTCAAGTTATTTTTACTTGTAATAGTGTTAACATACTACACAGGTCATGAACAAGATTTTTTTTAAATTCTCATTGTAAGTGGGCTAAAGCAGTTAATTAAAAGTAGTCTAACATAAATGTAAATGCTGTAACTTGATTATTTTAATAAACCATGTAACTTGGATGGATTCGATGCGGCGTGTCCACAGTGCACACGTCTAATGTTGCTCACAGTCGTCCAAGGGACTGCTCAGGGAGTTAGTTAAATTAGAGGGAACATTGCCCAGGAGGCATCCTTGTCAGATGCCTGAACCACCTCAACTGGCTTCTTTCAGTGTGGAGGAGCAGCGGCTCTACTCTGAGCCCCTCTCTGGTGACTGAACATCTCACCCTATCCCTAAGGGAGAAGTCAGCCACCCTTCAGAATAAGCTCATTTCCGCTGCTTGTATCCGCGATATCATTCTTTCGGTCACTACCCACAACTCCTGACCATAGGTGAGGGTAGGGGCGTAGATCGACCGGTAAATTGAGAGCTTCACTTTTACGCTCAGCTCTCTCTTCACCACAACAGACCGGTACAGCATCTGCATCACTGCAGCCGCAGCACCAATCCATCTGTTGATCTCCAGTTCCCTTCTTCCCTTCTTAAAAGTGGGGACCACCACCCCGGTCTGCAGTCCAGGGGTACTGCCCCTGACCTCTACACAACATTGCAGGGGTGTGTCAGCCAGGACAGCCCTACAACATTCAGAGCCTTCAGGAACTCAGGGCGGACCTCATGCACACCAGGGGCTCTGCCACTAAGGAGTTGTTTAACTGCCTCAGTGACCTCACCCCCCAAAATTGGCAGGTCATCCCCCTCATCCCCAGACTCTGCTTCCTCCTCGTAAGACATGTCAGTGGGATTGAGGAGGTCCTCGAAGTATTCCTTCCACCGCCCAACAATTTTCGCAGTCGAAGTCAGTAGCGCTCCACCAGCACTATACGCAGTACCGCATACAGCCTCCTGAGTCGCCTGACGGTTTGCCAGGATCTCTTCGAGGCCGTCTGAAAGTCTTTTTCCATGGCCTCTTCGAACTCCTCCCACATCTGAGTATTTTCTTCAGCCACTGCCGGAGCCACATTCCACTTGTCCTATTGGGCTAGCCAAGCCCGATAGGACTCCTTCTTCAGCCTCGTGGCTCCCTTCACCTCTGGTGTCCACCATTTGGTTCAGGGGTTACAACGACAGGCACCAACCACCTTGCGGCCACAGCACAGTTAGCACAGCCTGCTAGGCGTTCACAGCACACCCTCACTATACGTTTAGGTGCACCGGGTCTGTCCAGTGTTCTCCCCCGTCGTCTAATCCAACTCACCACCAGGTGGTGTTCAGTTGACAGATCAGCCCCTCTCTTTACCCGAGTGTCGAGAACATATGGCCGCAGCTCTGGTGATATGATTACAGAATCGATCATCAACCTGCAGCCTAGAGCGTCCTGGTGCCACGTGCACTTTGGACACTCTTATGTTCGAACATGGTGTTCGTTATGGCCAAACTGTGGTTTGCACAGAAGTGCAATAACAAAACATCACCTGGGTTCAGATCACGCCCCTCCAGTTCTCGCTGGCGTTACCCATGTGAGCATTGAAGTCCCCCATTAGGACAACAGGCGGAGCATCTTCCAGCACCCCACCCAGGGACTCTAAAAAGGCTGGGTACTCTGAGCTGCCACTCAGCGCATAAGCGCAGATGACAGTCAGGACCTGTTCCCCGACCCAAAGGTGCAGGGAACAAACCCTCTTATCCACCGGGAGGAACCCCAACATACAGGCAGTAAGCCAAGGAGATATTAAAATACCAGGGGACTGGTTCCAGAGCCCAAGCCATGCGTTGAGGTGAGCCTGACTATATCTAGCCAGGAACTTTCAACCTCACGGACTAACTCAGGCTCCTTCCCCACCAGAGAGGTGACATTCCATGTCCCAAATGCCAGTCTTGGATCAGTCCACCAGGGCCTCCACTCCTGGCCGCCGCCCACCATACAATGCACACGACCCCTATGGTGCCTCCTGCGGGTGGTGGACTTGCAGGAGGATGGCGCCTTTAAATAACATGTATTTTTATTATTATTGTTATTATTATAGTTTAATCTTCATGTGCCTTATTCAAAGTACACTCTCTGTTGAATCTATCTAATATTCACAGTATTCATTCACCAGAGGTGTGGACTCGAGTCACATGACTTGGACTCGAGTCAGACTCGAGTCATTAATTTTATGACTTTAGACTTGACTTGAAAAAATGTTCTAAGACTTGTGACTTGACTTGGACTTTTACACCAATGACTTGGGACTTGAATTGGACTTGAACCGGTTTACTTGAAAAGACTTGATATTTTACCCCAAATATAAAATTTAACATGCATATTATATAGAGATTGAAAATGTGACGTCATTCACGGGTAGAACCGCAAAGGATTCTGGGAACTCGTGGCAAGAGGTACTAGCGCACGCAGGCTTTCAATTGAAATCAGTAACAGCGATAAAAAGAAACACAAAAATGGTCAAGAAGCTGTTGTATTATTAACTGCAATAGCCGGTCGCATGACAGCCACGGGAAGCCGACGGGTAAAGAGATCGGTTGTTATCGGATTACGTCGTTGAAGAGAAATTGTTCGAGCCATGTTTCCGAAGTAACAAAGAGGCGACGGATGGCCTGGATTGCAGCCATTCAAAGACCAAATATAACGTCCCAGAACACTCCAGCTCACAGGTTAGTCTGCTCCAAGCATTTCACAAAGGTCAGTCTGCTGTTGTAGTTAATGACGTCATTTTCATAACATAATTGGTGATATAGGTTACAAGCAAGTCTGGCGCTGAACAGAAATTGTCGCGCTATGCTCCTTTGTTTATTGTGCATAAATAGTGAATTGTCCTGACACAATATTGCGTTTCGCTTCTGTTATTATGGTACATTGACAAAAACATATACTTTTATTCACAGGATAAAACAGTTGTTTTGTATCACTAATTGCCCAGTACGATTACAGCATACAGTATTATTGTCACTGCTACATTTCTGTGATGTACCAGAAATTATTTCCACTACTAATTAATTACCGTTGAGCTCAAAGGTCCTATTAATAAACGGTTAACGAATGTGTATTTATGACGACGATTTGTGAGACTGGTAAACTTATGATACGTACGATGGTCTTTCGTTCTACACGGTGCATTTCAAGGTCCTGCACCCATCCGTCGGTAAACTGTACCTGGGCTTGTTGCAGTGACCTGAAGTTACTAAACTTCATGAGTGTATGCACTCACTCCAAGAACCGTATAATTATAAATATGCATATAAATATGCTACGATGAGATAGCTGACTTCATCTAACTAGCAAATGTTTTCCAGGCTACGTTGGTGATGCAGTTTTTTTTAATGTGTATGATATTTTTGTCATGCGATTTTAAAGCCGGTCCTACAACCGCATCCAAGAATAACATGCAGCTTATCTCAGAACTGTCGGTGAAAATTATTCTTGGAGCTAGGTTTAATTGAGCTGCATTTTAAAGAGGTGCAATTTCACAATTTGTGTATATTTTCTAAGTTCACTATTTTGTCATGTGTTGAGAAAAACACAGATTTAAAAATTACATGGTCTAATATTTACATTTAGCATATAACTGCAACATGCTTTTTTTCGTTTTTTTTAAGACTCGAAAGGACTTGAAATTCAAAATTTCAGACTTGTGACTTTACTCGGACTTTTACACCAGTGACTTGAGACTCGACTCTGACTTGCCTGACATTACTTGAGACTTGACTTGAGACTTGAGGATAAAGACTTGAGACTTACTTGAGACTTGCAAAACAATGACTTGGTCCCACCTCTGTCTTTCACTGTGACTTTAGGGATTTGTCAGCTTAGCTTAGTTCATAACCAACTAGCTAGCTGCACTTTCCTGCTCAGTGTGTTACATGTTTAGGTACTCAGCCTTCCTTAGTATAAATGATACATTTAATAAATGTAGCCAGTTTACAGCTCTGGAGGCTAAAAAGAACACTGCGGTATACCAAAATCTGGTATTGGTTTAGGTCTTCCATGAGAATTCCTTCCTCCTGTGTGTTTTTCCAACATTGCTCAGTATTAGCTCTTCATGGGTCTGCTCTTGTACTATTGTTCCCATGCAGCTGGGACTGTACCCTGGATAGGTCTTTGGAGGACAGGCTATTTATTCTTTTGACCTCTGGTATTTTGTTTGGCAGTTTATAGATCCTCAGTTATGTACAGTTATGTATCTTATTCATACAGGACCTGTCTCTAATGATACTGTTGCACACCTCTGTTAGCCGCCTACCCTCCGACCGAGATTCTCTCATTCTGGAATATAAAATTCCCCTCTCGTCCCTATAGGCAGTCTATCCTTAAGGCCTGGGTCCTCTACCAGAGGCCTGGGAGCTTGTGCAGTATTTTAGCTGTTCCTAGGATATATATAGGATTTATATATGTATATATACATAGAGCTTATTTTTTTGTTTCAACTTGTTCTTTTTGCAACTTACAGAAACAACTGTGAATGCAGTGTTGACCACTCCTGTGCCGATAGTTGCATAGACAGGCTGGGACACGCCTGCTCGCTCAAAGATCATAGTTGAGTAGTAGAACACCTACAGAAGATGACAGACACAAGACACAGGTGCGATACTTGAACTTTATATCTTTCTGTGCATGAATTTATTCTCTACACCTTGCACTTCAACTCGAATGCACTGTTAATGAATAATGATTTCAAGAACATGAGTTATGACTAATCATTTTAGTAGTAGTAGTAGTACAGTAGTAGCGCAGTAGTTCATGTTACTAAATAGGATCTCATTACTTAATGGTCGTTAAAGTTATTGTTTAGGTCATTTGTAATCTATGTAGCTTAAGAGATGTAAAACATTTTATCTTATACCCTTTGTTTTATACTCGATGGCATTCACTACAATAGAATGCACAAGTTCTCTTTTGCTCATTTGACTTACAGCATTGATACCAGACAGTTGCTGTGACAGCTGCAGCATGATGGCAACAAAGATGGGCTGGCGGTACACAGGGGAGCGGAAAAGTTCAGGGATGGTCACCTTCTTTTCCTTCATCATCTGCTGGCTCTCCTCCTTCATCTCCTCCATTTCCTCACTCACTTCATCAGTACCCCGTAGTTTAATTAGGACTGGAAGACAGTAGTTATTTCTATGATGTTATGTTACAACTGTCTAGCAGTATATTAGATAGTTTTGGCAGAAATTGTGTGGATAAAAGAAGATTTATTTGTGTAACTTCAGATATAGGTGTTGTTTACAATGAGTCTCTATTGTGTATTTGAGTGTCTGAACGTGAATGTGTCTATGTGTGTATTCTTCTGTGTTTATTCTAATGAATAGCAATTTTTAGTTTTAGACATTGGGAGTCAGGACATTTGAGAACATGCCTGCCTCTTTGTACTGTAATCTATAATCCCCAAATGTTCCTGTTTGATTGCATTTGATTTTTTCGTCGTCTCTCATGACAGTGTGTTCATCTTACCGCCGCGGGCTTTGTTCTCCTCGTTGCAGTTGATGAGGAGGAGGTATCGGGGGCTCTCAGGACAGAGAGGCAACAGGACACATTGCAGCACAGATGGTAGCAGAGTAAAACCCAGTAGGAGGGGCCATAGGGATGCATTCCCCATGATGGATTCAAGCCCAAAAATCTAAACAATGTATACAATAGACTCCTTATTTGAAAGCCCCTTTCAGACTTGGAATATACACAACAGTAAATTAGTAACGACATCAAATGCTTGAAGTGTCAGCATTTCTATATTTTTTTAAAATTTAATTCCCCTCTCATCCCTGCGGGCGGTCTATCCTTCAAACTCGGGTCCTCTACGAGAGGCCGGGGAGCTTGAGGGTCCTGCACAGTATCTTAGCTGTTTTTGGGTCTGTGCTCTTCTGGATAGAGATCTCCAGTGTTGTTCCTGGGATCTGCTGGAGCCACTCGCCGAGCTCGGGAGTGACTGCATGTAGTGCTCTGATTACCACTGGGACCACATCTTCTCCAGCTCTTCTCTGAGCCCTTGGTACTTCTCAAGCTTCTTGTGTTCCTTCTTCTTAATCTTGCTGTCATTTGGTATCTCTACGTCTATCACTACGGCTGTCTTCTTCTGCTTGTCCACTGAGTTCCTGATGAAGGCTTTTAGGGTCCTGTTGATCTTGTATAGTTCCAGGATCCAGGTATGGGGCATCGAGTCATAGGGCTTCTTGTAATCAATCCTGGCAGTGCATAGGTTGGTCAGTCTTGCAGTCTTGGCTGACTGTTCTGTCTACCAGTAGCTGGTATTTTGTGACTCTGGTATTCTTACCAATTCCTTTCTCTGCCCTGCTAATGTATTGACCCATGTGCCTATCCAGCTTAGCCACTATGATGCCTGACAAGAACCCCCATGTGGTACTGAGGCAGGTTATTGGCTGGTAATTGGATGGGACTGGTTTCTTCTCGGGGTATTTGAGGATCAGGACTGTCCGGCCTTCGGTTAGCCGTTCTGGGTGTCTCTCATCCACTAGCAGCTGGTTCATTTCTGCAGCCAGACGCTTGTGGAGTGCAGTCAGCTTCTTCAGCCAGTAGGCGTGAACTATGTCGGGGCCTGGTGCTGTCTGACTCTTCATATTGGAGATCCTTTCTTGGATGTCTGCCAGTGTGATGGTTACTGGACCCTGTTCAGGGAGGTGGCTGTGGTCTTCTCTTAGATCCACTAGCCACTGAGCATTGCTGCTATGTGTTGCGTCCTTCTCCCATATACTCTTCCAGTATTGTCCCATCTCCAACCTTGGTGGTGCTGTTCTACTGTTTACCTGGAAGTTACTAAAATTATCTACAGTATAGTTGTGTCTTATCCTGTAGAAACTGCAGTGTTGTCAATGCGTTGCCAGGCCTTCACTGCAGCTGCCTTGTTTGTTGGCATCTGTGCCTTCATTTTGTCTTCATTAACTGGAAAGCACAATCTATTGGATTGAAATCAGGTGACTCTCTTGGTCATAGCGAATACAGTTTCTTTGCCTTGAATAACACTTGGGTGGCTTTTGCGGTCTACACTGCGAAACAATGCACGTGGATAATGAATATTTTTACAGCATTTAGCTGAATGTGAGCAGAGTATAGCCCTGTAACACTGGACTCTCCTGTGGTGGTGTGCAGAGTGTACAGAGGCAAAAATCACAAAAAATATGTCATTATCTAGGAACTTATGAAAGTGATTATACGCATTATTAATCAACTGTTACTCAAACTGGTAAATGGTGGGAGTATTTGTGGTTAAAAATGTAAGGCTCTCACCTGTGCCATGAGAATGCCGATCACTACACCAAGCTGATGCAGCGTTCCTAATGCTCCCCGGAGAGATGTGGGTGAGATTTCCTCAATGTACATGGGCACAAAACCAGTGGACAGGCCAGAATAGACACCCACAATTAAACGTCCAATAACGAGCATCTCAAAGGAAGCAGCCAATTTGGAGAATCCCATAAATATTGCAGAAATGAATGCAAGCACATTGGCCATGAGCATGGAGTTCCTCCTTTAAAAAATAATTTACCATAAATGCTCTTTAATAAGAAAACTTTAAAAAAAATTAAATTTTTAAATTTAATTTAAAAAAAATATATGGATGTATATAGATCTTGTTAGCAACGGAGAGAGTCATACCTGCCAAAGCGGTTAACAAAGAGACCGACAGAAAAGGAGCCAAACATCCCTCCCACAGAGAAGATGGCCACAGAGAGAGACCACAGAGCTGTTAGAGTGGTCTGAGGGATGGGCTCTGAAAACCTGCTGCTCCATGTCTCATTGTAGAAGCTCTCAATGATCTAAAACATAAAACAGTACGCAGTAACAGTCTTATTGTAAGACACATAAAGACAGATTAAAGTAAAGTGAAGCAGCTCTTATGTACACAACAGCACTTTAATCCCAACTTTTGCTTAGTGACCCTTGGTGATTTAATACTTTACGCTCAGGGTGAAATACGAAGACAAATATTGGATACACTGCGTTGTCATTTAATTTCCAGAGTCTAATATTTCCAACTCTTTCAGACTTCATGACTTGGGTGGTCTTTAACTTTCTCTCCAGAACTTTCATCAACAGGTCATATGTAAGAGTAATACAGTCAGTCATTATCCTTCTGATACCATTCTAACTTGGTGAACATGATACCTCATACACATGGATGTAGCTACATTCATGTCACGGCCTGCAAAGGCAGACCGTGTGGAGTGTGTGAGGAGGACTAGGTGCAGACGCAGACGAGGAGCCAAAACTAAACTTGAACAAAAAGCGAGCCTTTATTTTGGGGTTGAAACTCACAAACATAAAACACAACAAACAAAATGAGGGAAAATCTAAACACACACTGGGAAAACCATGACTTTTACTATGACTGAAACAAGATAATGACTATGAGAACTGTGACATGATGGAGGTAACGCAGAACACAGACACAGAACAAGGGAAGACAGAGGACTTAAACACACACATAAGGTTATTAGGGGAAATGGAGGCACATGGAAAACAGCTGACAGGAATGAACCTAATGATGCCACAGTGGAAGTGAAACTAAATCAATGAACATGGACCCCAAGACCCCCTCAAAGTAAAACAGGAACCATAAAAAGACGCAGACATGACATGACAGATTAGATACACTAACCAATAAGGGAGACTAAAACACAGGGGTGAGCCACAAGGGGAACCTGATAAACCATGAACTGTAACCTAGGTGTGACAGAATTTAGCTAGATAAGCTGAAATGAAGAACACAAATGAATAACAAAATACAAAGAAACTCACAAACACTGGGACCCAGTGACAATTTAAAGATGATTTTTCTTCAGCCTTAACCTCCTAAGACCCAAAGTCTTCCACAGCATGCATTTTTAATTTCTTTTTGATATCTGGGCATATACTGATTGGGACCTGATGAATGTAAAAACAAAGAATTACCAGATTATTTTTTTTACCTGATTTTTGTTTCTAAGAAAAATGAGAGCCACAAATGAGGATATTCGTTTAAAATTTCGATAGAACAGTGGCAGTATAATGTCCTCGCAAGTGGATATCAGGCCATTGTAGAGCAAAATTGAGTATTTTGGTCTAAATAACCCAAAATGTGATGTCCAAATATGTGGACGCAGGGTTCTAGGAGGTTAAAGCAGTTCTGGCTAAATGTCAGGTAACTCAGGAGGGGTGCTCTACTCACACTGTATAGTATAGGCACCGCGGACTTCAACCGAGGATCAGTGGTACAGTAAAATCAGTGGTATGGAAGGAATACTTCTTCTTCTTCATTTAATCCTTAGTTATATTTATTATCTGCCTCTCTTGCACAGTTGTAGAATTCTTCCTGTTAAAGAGTGTTTTTCCTTCCCACTGTTGCCAAGTGCTTGCTCAAAGTGGGTTTACTGACCATTGCAGTTTTCTCTGTATTATTGTAGGGTCTTCACCTTACAATATGAAGCACCTTGGGACAACTGTTGTGTTTTGGTGATATATGATTGAGATTGAATTCAGTCTGACTTGTTTACAGTGAGTCTTTGTCACCACTTTGTTCAGAATTTTTATGGGTAGAATTTGTAGGTGGAGCCAAGTGGCAGCAGGCTTCTACTTTGGTAGACGCCTTCTACAGGATCTTGTGGCTGCTTTTTGTAGATGACATGGTTCTCTTGCCTTAACCAGGTGGTGGCTTGAAGCAGTGGGAAAGAGAATCAGCACCTCCAAATGTGACTCCCTGGTTCTCAGCAGGAAAAGGGTAGAATGCCCACTCAGGATCGGGAAGTTGTTGGCTCATGTGGAGAAGTTTAAGTATTTCTGGTTCTTGGTCACATGTAAGGGGGGAGGTAATGAGATTCCACACCACTGCAGATTTGAGTGCTTTACTGGTCTGTTGAGATGAAGAGCGCTGAGTAAAGCTGTCAATTTACCGGTCACTCTATGTCCCTACTCTCACTGATGGCATCAAGCTCTGGGTAATGACTGATAGAATCGGATTGCAGATACACACAGTAAAAATTAGTTTTCTGCAATCAGCGTTAGAGATAAGGTGAGAAATTCAGTCATTCAGGAGAGACCCAGAGTGTAACATGGTACACTAATGTGCCTGTTTTAATTCATCTCCATATTATTGTGTGAAGTTGCACTGGGTTGGGAGTGTGTGTGTGTGTGTGTCACATTTCTGGTGAGCCAATGGCTGTAATGTGGTTGGACTACTAGGCAGGTGTAATTGATTGCACTGATACACTGGTCTACTTATAGCCCACACTACAAACACTGCTGTGTTATTTTGTCTCTCTGTGCAGGTATGTAATGTGATGAAACCTGATATATTTGGGATGGATGGGTTTTGTGCTATGAATTATATAGTGGAGGTATTATTTTGTCTCTCTGTGTAGGCCAGGGCCTATGATATGCCACAGCTTAAAGGCAGCGGAGTTGCAGAGGCTGGAGTGATCACTGGCTATCTACTTGCAGGGTGGTGGGTCTCAGAGGACAACTGCTAACCCTGTTGAAGTCATCGTGTGGAGTGCTACTGGCATTGTGATTTCATAAAAATGTTCTTTTAAGTCATCGGAGCTTTTCACTATGTGTTAACAGCATTTAACACTGACGCGTTTGTTTGAGATGGGAATGTTTAAACCACATAAATTAATACATGTGAAAACAGTAAATATACCACATGGATTCAGCTTCAAAACCTTAACTGAAAAAAAAAGAGTTGATCTTCATCAGTGAAACTAACTACTGTATCACTATTCTAATTCCATTTGTTCTCACACATTTTCAAATATGTATATTTTTTCCTCCTTTACATTCTTCATTCAGACAATGAAACTCTCACATTTTGAGGAGCATTGATGACGCCAGTATTGTAGCCAAACTGAAGCGAGCCAATCACAGCTGTCCCTACTGTGATCATCAGCTGGGGCGTCACCTATTGTTATAAGACAGAAAGAGAAGATTGATAATTACTGTTGGAAGAGGAAAAATCCCGTTTTAATCATGTTACAACCCTCCTAAAACTGTGTGTGGGTAAAAAGATCAAATTTGGAGCTCTCTTGAAGCTATTTTTTATTCTAATAACTTTATCACTTGATAACATTCATTTCTCTCGATCATTTTGATTCATGCAAAAGTTACATTTTCTTTTGATATTTTGTAGTTATGTAGCACTTTATTTCTCTAGCTGCAAAACTCGTTCATGCATCAGCACAGCATTTTCAATATATGCATTTGCTTTGTCTAAGATTCACACACTCACTGATGGATGGATTGTGGAAACATGGTGTACAGTATCTTGCCCAGGAGCAAGGGATCAAAGCATCAATCTTCCATTTAGAAGAAAACCTGCACTACCTTGACTGGTTAAGTCAGGTTTTACCAGGCTGCTACTCGTTTTCCCTTACTCTCTTGGAAACAGAAATCAGCAACAGCTGATTGCTCTGACTGTCGTGGTACCCAGAATGAGGATCGTAATCCTGGAGGAACTTCATAGCAAACAATGAGATTTCAATCGAGCTGTTTCAGCAAGCATCATCAGGAATGTGAGGTGTATATTTAACAAAATGGACAAACTTAGTGAGCTGATCAAACCCCAGAGAGCACATCAGAGTGACAGAAGTGTTTCATGGAGGACTGAAGTATTGCAGTTAGATGCTGACACACTCAGACATGGCTTCAAGACTTTTTAGGTGAACAAAGAGGTTATTTTGCATTATAAGAAGAAATGCAGAAGAATTGCACTGTAGTTCTAATTGAAATATTGTGTAAACTTTGAATGGATGGATGCAGGATGTTTATCGTTGATGGATTAATCCCTGATGCATCAATTGGCATGTGTAAATATATCTATTGATCTGGTTAGTTAAGTAGCAGAGGGGGTGGTTAATCAGGTTCAGCTACTTTGGTGTTAATGAAATTAACAACAGGTGCACTAGAGGGGCAGCACTGAGACAACTCCCAAAATATGAATACATCTGTCCCTCTTCATATTCTCTGACTATTTTTGATTAGTTTTACATTTGCCTAGGGTCAGTGCAACCACTGGTAGCATGAGGAAACCTGGACCCCACAGAGGTTGAACAGGCAGTTCACCTCCTCCAGGATGGTACAAACAAGGCAAACAAGGTTTGCTGTGTCTCCCTGAACAGACTCAAGAGTATACAGGGGAGCTGGACATGTTCATAGAAGGTAAAAACCCATCAGCAGTACTGGTATCTGCCTCTTTCTGCAAGCAGGAACTGGGTGAGTGCTGCCATAGTCCTACAAAATGACCACCAGAAGGCCAGTAATGTCTCCCACCAACCAGTGACTTCAGTGGTGCCCTGTTCTTTTCACTTTGATTTGTTTTCTCTGATCTCATCCATCTGTAGGCTGATACTTTTACCTTCCATTTAACAATATGACATCCTGTGTTTCTTGACTTCGTTTTCAAAGTGTTATCAGTGTAGATGAAAGCATTGTATCATTGTGTATGTGACAGGGTGAAGGAAAGAAATTAATAATAATAGTAATTATAATAAAGTTTGTTTTATATAGTTTATATGTATTTGTGTGCTTGCTCTTTCATTTGCAGGGCTATAGCTTTTAAGCTAACTATTATTATAGCTAAGCCTGTAATAAAATTAAAGTCTAATCCCTGTCATGTCAGGAGTGCTGCTTCTGCTGTACAGTCAAATACATCAGCATATATAGTACGAATGTACACAGGTCCTATGATGTGTAACACAACTTTACACAAAATTGCATGGCATGCTGTATAAAAGTACTTAAATACTTAAACGCAGACCATCTTAAAAAACTACTAATCCACATATTAATGCATCAATTTTACTTCTTTACTGACAGTTTAAGACTGATCAAACTTTATTATTTTACATACATTTTGAATCACTTGTTGTAAAACAGTGTTTATGCAAAACATTTGTAAGACAAAGACTAAAATTATCTTCTGTTGCTACTATCTCACGGTGTAATAAGAAAATGGAAGCACTGCTTACAGCTGTAAGAAAAGGAGTAGAAGTCCTGACTGTGCTGCTGAATTTAGGTCCAACACACCATTAAAACATCCTCATTTTTATATCTGAAGTTATTGTTTCACTCACTATGACATGGTGTCTGCTGTGAAAACGTGCTGCCACATAATGGATCAAACACTGGAGCCTTTTAATTGTATTCCTGACCTATTTATTTTTTCAACAAACAAAATCTTCATCCTGTATGAATCAAGCAGCAGTTACCTTGCCACTGCACTCCATGGCAGCCCACAAAATCCAAAATCCGGATTGTCAGTAATCAGTCAGGTAATTTACTATCTACAATAAAACTGTGCTCATGATGTTGCCTGCTAGACTTGAGTCCTACATCAGTGTAAACAAATCTTTTTCAGTTCCTTCCTCCATTCACCTGCAGCAGTAAGCAGCTTAGTGACGTCAGCACTAAGTGGATCTTAATGAGCTGCTGAGGTCCCAGCAAAGCAGCACTATCATGATGTTGACATCCTAGGGCTGAAGTCTCAGAGCTGTAATACATTCACTGACTGATTTAGTCTTAGATGCATTTAATAAGTTAAAAAATGAAAATATTCACACATTTTTTTCAATGTACATTTTCTTATAGATGATTAAAAAAATGTAAATACAAATTAAATAAAAAAAAAAAAAAACCCTAGTGGGGGTTGTCTCTTAAGAGGATTGTTGGCCCACTATTAATCATGAGCCTAGTCACTTGAGCCAAGGAGTGAAAAAGGCGTCTGTAATGATCACCTGAGGTTTCAGGTGAAAACACTGTGAGACCTTGCCTCACCCTGTCATGTGACCTATTAAGGTCAAAACTACACTGTAAGTGGCAGACAGCTGGTGTGGTCAGCCGCTGTTCAATGATGGACACTCACAGTGGACACAGAGGAACTCTTTTACTCTTCCATCTGTCTTTTATCTAATTTAGTGAACAGTTCAGATAAAATAGTTACATGTAGATGCTCAAAATGACAGCCTCAGTGTTGAACATACTGTGACTCACTTGGCCTCTCTCAAAGTGTAAATTAGCCCACCCACCTCTCCGATCACACTCTGGCTCTCGTTCTGATAGAAACTGAATATTTAACAGTGTTTCCTGAAAACCGTCTTTTGCATAATCACTTCTTAATAACTTTAAATTTACAATAATGAATTACACAGCAGCAGGTAATACATTATAGGAGATGTCTTTTTGAAAGTGATGTAACTGAGTGTATGGATGTAATCCCTCCAGTGTTATCTTCTTCATGTGCCAACACAGTGCAGAGCAGCCACCTCAACTCTGCTCTCACAGAGGTCAGCTGTTGTGTTATTAGTGTTACATACATCTGGATACTAACAAAGAAATCCACAAATCACAAGTACTTGACTCCCTGGTGTAACTCGTAAATACATATCTTGAAAAAGATAAGATGGGAATAACCCCGGCTTTGTTTTCAGAGCTTTAGCCAGGCTGACAAATACAGAGGGCCATGTGTGCCAAAATGAATTAAATAAATACATCATGAAGTATTAATTAAATATGGCATCAATTAAAGTATATATAAATAATTAAATAAATATCAGTTAATTTTATTATTAAACATTTAATTAATTATTAATTCATATTAATGAATATTTTCTAGTCTAGAAATTAATGATCTAATCTTCTGGTCAGTCTAACAAGACAGACTCCATGTGTAAAACTGCTCCAACGTTTTTGGAGATGTTCGTTCCCGCTAACATTCAGCTCAGTTTTCAAAACTGCTGCTCCTCACTTCTCAGTGGAGGTAAAACCCAAGGTTTAGCATTTTAACACCTGATTTGTGTGTTTTTTGTTCAATGAGCAGTATGACCTGAGACTAAACCACAGTATCACTCCATCACACGGCAAACACCCCCTATCTTATGGATGTGTAACCCTGTGAAAACGCTTCCTGTTCAATAAAATAGGGCTGGAAGTGAATTTAGTTTCTTATGAAACTATCTTTTCTTATTGGACAAACCTGTTGAGATTAGAACTTCATAGATTTGGCACCTTAAAATCTTTTCAATCATTGTCACACGGATCGAGGGCATCTGTCTCAAAGTGACATCTGTCATGGTCCTGGTCATCTGCAGCAGTCACCCTGGATGTATTTAGGACCTCCTCAGATGTTCGCCAGGTCGTCAGATGTTCTGTACTGCTAAATCGGCCTCTATGCTTGCTTTAAACTCCTCGTAACTTTCTGTGCTAAGTGTTTTGCTCCTTGTGTCTCCTGTCACCGGTGCTTTGGATCACTCCCCACGCTAACCTGTTACTTCCTCAGATTGTCTGAAGCTGGTCTGCTATCTGCTACTACTCACCTGCTGCCTATCCACTGCTCACTGGAAATCCAAAAAGGATCGGAAAGATCACCTACCTGCCCTACCTTCACTCTGAACACAATGGGGTGATGCAGGTGAGACTTTGGAAAGAACGCTTCATGTCTCTTTGAAACCAAAACAATACAATTTGACAGCTTGTGCAGCTACTTGAAGATCTTGGGAAGCAGGAGTGCTGTTTTGCTGTAAAGGCAGCCATCACAACACTGTCAAATGCAAAAAACACAAAGGTGCTGAAACCCTTAAACACTGTTGTTGTCGTTATTTTCTTTCTAAGAAGAACCATGGTCGAATGACCGATGTCACGAACTAGTCTCCAGTCCTTGACATTACCCGTGTCTGGGTCTCGTCTGAGTATTATTCTCCAGCTTGTGATTAAAAACATGGATATGAAACACCATGATGCAAACAGCGTATTATTTATTATTATTTGACTCTGCTTCTGCTCTGCTCATGCCAAACTGCTTTATTAAAATATCCTGTAATATCCACCAAAGTCTAAATTGTAGACATTCTCCTTTTAATCATTTGTGAAACAGCAAACCCTGAATATTCATCCTCAGTTTAAATAGCTCCTACAGGTTACTGGAGCCTTTTAAAAGTTACAGAACCTCAGGGCCTGCTGTTCAGGCCACTAAACTGGGCCCAGTTAATTACCAAGTGCACAGGTGTTACTGGCTTTTTCTTTTCTTAACAGACGAGTCAGGGTAGACGACTGGACAACAGAGGTAGTAAATGTTGGGCTCCATCAGGCTCTATACTACTTACTGTTCAAGTCCCACAGGATCGCAGACACACTCATCCCCCTGCCTTTCCAAGCGCCTTCGATGCTTGCTCCCTCTTGGGGAACACGGCGGGTCTGAGCCCGCGCTAGAATGGTAACGCTGGGCAGGATGGCTGCTGCGTTGCTTCGAATTATTCCTCACCCCCTACCCAACCCTGTGGCTTGTCACGTCTTCCATAATGTTGTGCTGTGGACATTCATGTGCTTCTTTTTGTGCAGAGGAGTTTTTTTGTTTCCTGTTCTCATGCTGTCCTCCCAGGAGCCCAGCATGAGTAGAGGTCTCTTTTTTTCCTCTTGTACTTTCCCATTGTAGTGTATATTTCAGTGTTTTTTTCTGTAACGCTACTGATCTCCGACCTGTAACCCCATGTGATATGTGTTGTGTGTGTGTGTTGGGGGGGGGTCCCATTTCACTGCAGGGCAACCTGCATGTGGCGAATAAAGTCTTGATTGATCAGAGGTTAGGACTTTTTAAACAGAGCCGCCCTGTGTTGGGGGAACACTACAGGCGTCATTTATTATCAGCTCTGATGTTCTGTAGCACTCAAGCTCGCAACCTTTATTACAGTGTTTATATTACAAAGCCTCAGAATATCAGGCTGTTAGAAAGCTAATGAAGCCAAATAGTTAATTTAAACTTACCTATGGATTATCTGCTCATCACTGTAAAACCTCATTAATTCAGAGAACTTCAAAAAGTATGTAAACTTGTCGCCTTAGAAAAACGGTGAGTTATTTATTCATGTTTAAAAAAGTGGCCCAGGCAATGAACTATTCTTTACTATTCTATTATTCTATATCTTCTATTCTATATCTAGTAACCCTCAATATGTTCTTATTTACTGCTTAAGATTGGATCTTAAAGCATCAGTATACAACTTATATAATATTTCACATTTTGAATATGAAATGAACACTGTTGTGGCAAAGATTTTATTTTTTATCAATAAAAACAGGCAGGTGGGGTTGTTACTAGAGTCACACACATAAAGCAGAATTAATTTATCAGTCACATGTATCAGCGAACATGGACGCTTTCAGAACTAACAGACTGTTAACAGGTTTTTAAACCACTCGATTGGCAGGTTTAAAGGTTTAAAGGCTGACTGATAAAAAAGAAAACATTGTACAAACTTCAAAATCATATTTCTCCGTTTTATTAGACTCTGGCATATATAATATCTTGAGCTTCTTGACTTTCATACATTTCTCCAACCTCTTTTAAAGAAAATATTTTTTACTTAAAAAAATAGCATTACCTCTTTACTCAGTTTGCAAGAGCAACATCAAGAAAAAGACAAAGAGGTTTTTAATTGCAAAGAAACTGAAAACAGATCATCTGTTCAGCTGCAACACTGGAGTGGATTAATAACATCTAAAATCAAGCAAAATGACAAGTTTTAAAACAACCAGAGATATTTAAAGTGCTGCAGACTATAGCAGAGGTACCAACAAACATATTGGTGCAATTTGGAAGTACTGTTCTCACTGCAAATGAGTCAAATAAATCATTTCATGTGAGAATCATTTCTAAAATGTCTTTGTGAGTCTCAGCAACAAAACGGTGCCCATAGTTGGTGCATTGTTTGGAAGCAGGGAGGAAAGGAGTAGAAGCTGGTATAATCATAACAATGAATGTGCTTCTCATACTTCAAAAAAGGTTCTGCTGCTCCAGCTGTCTGGATGGATACAGCAGGCTGATGACATGGATACAGCAGGCTGATGGCAAAGGAAGGGATCGATATCTTTGGAAAATGTTTCTGAGCAGGAGGTGAAGAACATCCCAGCAGGTGGTGGCGATGACCATGTTAGTCCTCGATGGAGGTCAAGGGCACTCGGCGGAAAAAGAAACTGGATCCTCTAAAGAGGTGACCCTGGCGTGAGGGAGACAAAGAGAAGGAATATAGGAAAATATATAGTGCACTGGGGAACTCCAGCTCTGGTCTTCTGACTGGCTTTTGCAGTATGCTTTGCCTGAGCAGAGAGCATAGGCCTGTACACGTCGCAGTTCATCCTGCTACTTCTATCAGCAAGTGACCTGTTCCCTTGGCATCCATACATGCACATGCTGCATCACTACCTCCACCCTATTTAACAGGCAGTGTCCTGCTTACTCTCCACTATCCTACTGTAGTGTACAAGTGGTTTCCACTTTTTTGTGAACCCTCTGCATTTACCTTCACAAAGGTGTTTCTTGATTATAGATTTTGACAGTGATAGACCGACTACCTCCTTTCTTGACATGGCTACATACTGTGAATGTTTTTTCTGATCTAAGGAAGAATTCTACCTCTTCAGTTGTCTTCTGTGGTATTTCAGGCCTTTTGGTGTTGCTGAACCAGCCAGTGCATTCCTTCTTTTACAGATTGTTAATTTGAACATTCCTAAAGCTTCTGCATCATCAGCATCTCTATTACCTCTATTTTGAGTTCCAGTGAATTGGTCATGGAATAATAAAATAGCATTAAGGAATCAAATGCCATGTGACATAGTGAGTGTACCTTGTTGCTCAGGTGATTCCAGCAGTGCAGCCAGGAGCTAAAGACGGGCGACAGAGGAGGAAGTCCTGCAGCCAGTCTGACAAGACAAAGCTCAGCAGTCAGACTGAAGCATCAGCGATTATTTTGCAAAAAAATATTAAAAGCATATTTACTGTAAACATAATAAAGACTTTAATGTAGCACAAAAAGCCCCTGTTCTGGAGACAAACTGCAAGTGTGAAAATGATGAACCATTTATTGTATGAGCCTCACATTAGTCAGATTTCGAGATCTTTAGTGATTTGGAAATGCTGTCAGACTCCAATCAATGCCTACATGGTAACACAAGAGCAGTTCATGGAGGAATCTGTAAACATATTTAAAACTAACTTTTGTTATGAGCACTGGTGCTTGTCCTTTGTCTACCAGTGGTCCTTGAAATATTTCTACAACTTCAGTTCTGCTGAAATTATTGGACATAACCTGGAAAGCACATACTAAAGCCCTTCCTTCGCTAGTGTATATATATTTATATCATTATATAGTATATATATATATATAAATCTAAGCTGCTAGAAAACATGTATGTGGCAGTCATATGAAAAACAGGAAGTTCCTCATTTAGAATTTCACCACTTTGTTCTTAATCATTGTATGAAAAAAATCTATGAGATCAGGAATCCAACTGCCATCTGATTGAAATTACCCTTAAAAAGTTATAAATGATATGAGCTCCAGTTTCTCTAATCTTTGTTGACTAAATTTAACCTTTTCCAGAAGGTTTGTGCAACTTTTGTCTTTTTATTCTTTTGTATTCCACAGACCTGCAATCACAGCATCATGTTTCAAGTTGGTGAGAGAAAAAAAAAACAATCGCTGAAACCATTTAATATGAGTGCGATAAAAAGCTAATTATAAACCTTGAAAGAGTCTACGGCATCGGGTTTAAATCAATATTACATTTTAAGTTCATAACTGTGTTTAGCTTAATGACTCACCCACAATTGTTTACCACCATAAGATCAGCAACCAGCATGAATGGATATGTAAGGACACTTACTGCAATCTAATGAGGCACAAAACGCACACTGCATTATTACTGAATTATGACATACAGGAGAAACCTTTCATGGTCTGAAGAGAGAACTTACGCCCATCACAAATTTAGTGTAGCTTCTCACTGCAGAGGCCTGACTGAACTGCAAAGAAATGTAAAGAGAGGGGGAAATGTTATTGAATGAATTTACATGTTTCCAGAAACAAAAACTAATGCACTTAAAGTTCAATAGTTACAATCGTTTGTATAATAAACAACAAATTACCATGTAAGCATATACAAGTGTCTCTGAAACACCGGTATTAAATGATGAGTTTTCTTTCATTCCTCATTTTCGTTTTTGGTGTGTGAGGGTGATGGGTTTGTGTGCTCCAGTAATCCCAGAAGCTTTGTTGTCAAGTGCAATTTGCTACTGGTAGGGTCTTCGAAATCAAACTGGTCCTGGGTGAGGAGCCAGACACCCTACGCAGTATAATAAATCAAAGGTTCAATGTAGCCTGCTCGGGACAGGGTCAGCGGGGATCCTACCCTGTCACCAGGAACAGGATAGGGGCTTATGGGTGAACGTCTGCTGGCCAAGCCTGAGCTCACAGCCTGGCAAGGATCAGCATGAAAAAGCTAAGTGGGTTTATCCTACTGTGGGACCACCACTCTCACAGGATGGGCTGCAGAGGAATGAAATATTGATAAGACATATGAACATGTGCATGGTACCCGGACACTATAGATCACTGGATGATTTTGTAATCAATAAAGACCAAGGAATTGACCTCAGGGGCAGGATTGTATCATGGCACAGATCTGAGGGTGGCTACAGAAAGATTTCTGCAGCACTGAAGGTTCTAATGAGCACAGTGGCCTCCATCGTCCGTAAATGGAAGACGTTTGGAACCACCAGAACTGTCTGACCATGTCAATCTACATGATCTGGGTAAAAGGGCCTTATTCGGGAGGTGCCCAAGTACCTGATGGGCACTTTAGTAAAGAGCTCCCAGCATTGCTCTGTGGAGAGAGGAGAAGCTTTCAGAAACAACCATTCCTGTACTCCAAGTAGCCAGGGTGAAGCCAACTCCTCAGTAAAAGACACATAAGAACCTGCCTGACTACTGTGTGAATGTCTGGCCCTGCCAGAGCCCAGACTGAAACCCTCTGGAGAGAAATGGCTGTGCACTGCTGCTCCCCAGCTGAGGTTCCACAAAGGAGAATGGGAAATAAGCTGCCCAAAAATAGGTATGCAAAGCTTATAGCATCACTCTCAAAGAGGCATGAGGCTGTAATTGCTGCCAAAGGTGTTTCAAGTATTAAGCAAAGGCTGTGAATATTTAAGTACTTGTTATATTTTTCTCTTTATGAATAGAAATTTGCAAGAATTTCAAGCAATTGCTTTTATAGGTTATTGTATTTAACATTTTGCAGTGAACAATGAATAGGGCTGTAACATGACAAAATGTGGAACAAATGAAGCTCTGTGAATACTTTCCAGATGTACTGTATGTATTATAGGAGACATATATAAAAATGTCTGAGTAATGGGTAATTAAAAAAATGAAAAAATAAACCTATCTGGTAAAATGCAAAAGACAACTAGTATATGAAGCTAAAATTTCACAGCAATCCTCATAAACTACCAGTAACAAGTTTTAGAACACCACATTTTCAAGTTCTTTATTGAAAATTACGCAGTTTATTGTCTGATTGCACTCTGAAATGAAAGCATAGCACAAATAAGTAACTGGAGTTAAAAAAGAAATCGTGGAATCAGTTTATAGACCAAAGTGTATTCTAACCTTTGACCCATCAGAGTAGCCTCCTTTGGCAGATATAACAGCTGAAGACAGCCGTGGCTTCTTTCTACAATAGAAATCAAATATTCTCCCATATCTGTAGCAGAAGTTCCCATAAACGTGGACCTTGTAGGTTGCTTTGCTTTCACTCTTCTGTCCAGTTCAAACCAGCTCGATGGGGTTTAAGTCTGGAGACTGTGCTGGACACTCCGTGTTTTCAAGCTCACCACCTTGTTCTTTGTTCCTGAGGTAGTTCTGGCACAGCTTGGATCTATGTTTTGGGTCTTTATGTTGCTGTAGGATGAAGCCCTGACCAACTAAGCTCATACCAGAGGATCCTGCATGGTGCTGCACAATGCTGTGGTACGTGTTTTGGTTCAGGGAGCCTCTCACTCTGTACAAGTCACCGACCCTGGATCCAGCAAACAGCCCCAGACCATCACACTTCCTCCTCCTTGTTTGACGGTTGATACCACACACTGTGGAACCATCCTTTACCTACTCGACCACAAAGATCCTGTGTGATGAACACAAGATTTCTTCAGTAGTCCAATGGTGGTGTTTCACGGCCCAGCCAAACCTCTTTGTCTTATTCTGACGTCTGGCTTTCTTGCTGCAACTCGTCCTGTCAAACCTGCAGCTCAAAGTCTTCTCTTCACAGCTGAAACTGAGACTTTCTTACGACGACCACTATAAAGCTGCTTGAAGCTGTTGTCCTGTGAGCCACCTATCACACAGCTGTTAACTCTCAGAAACTTGTCCTCTGATTGAGTCGTGTCTTTGGGTCTGCAGACCTCTTCCTGTCAGTTTGTTTCTGAGCCTTTGGATGCTGAAGGAAACTGGACTCACTGACACCTTGACTTTCTTTGCAGTTTCTCTGTAGGGCAGACCGACATTTATATGAAGGTCTGTCTCTCTTCCATTGTTAATCACCTTTTTCTCACCATTCTTGTACCATCACACTACTTTCTGTTCAACTGATGCTTTCGAGCGTATGGTACCACAGTGTGTTCCAACACTGCTTAATGGTCTGCATGTATCAAGTGTGCCTCTTCTGTATGTTGTTTATTTGCAATAAGGCAACTTTGTCATTAGCCTAGCCCAGGCTTTTGTCTAGCTGGTGATGATGATAATAATACCTCTGCCATAAACACTAGCTTAGCTTTTTGTCTATGAGACTATCCACTTGTTAAGTGATGATGTAACAACCCTGCTTCTGGGTCCAAACTCCTCCTTCTTTAATGCTGTTGTCTTTTTCATGTATTGTAATGCTTTGTATTTTGTTTTAATACAAACAATACTAAAAACCCCTTAAAAATAATCTGTTCACTGTAGGCCTCTCTGCTTTTTTATTAGCACTATTCATGTGCACTGCATTTTTAAGCTCAGTTTTTAAAACCTTACGATGTAATTAGAATCCATGGGCTCACAGTCCGCTAGACGCCAAATATTTGAATGTTGAAATTTAAAAAAAAAAAAAAAAAAAAAAAAAAGGACTCTCAGACTAATAATGGATTGCATTTATATAGCGCTTTTCGAGACCCTCAAAGCGCTTTACAATTCCACTATTCATTCACTCTCACATTCACACACTGGTGGAGGCAAGCTACAGTTTTAGCCACAGCTGCCTTGGGGCAGAAGCAAGGCAGCTATATCGCGCCATCGGCCATTCTGGCCAACACCAGTAGGTGGTAGGTGAAGTGTCTTGCCCAAGGACACAACGACCAATACGACCAAGAATTGCAACCTTCCGGTTACAAGATGAGCTTCCCAACCCCCTGAACCACTCGACTAACTAAGACTTCAACTGTTACATTAAAATGAGAATGTTTTGTTTCTTGTATTAAATTCATAGTGATAGCAGAGCTACAACTTTTAGCTGTTTTTATAAATCCTTCAGTCAGAACATGGCATATCATTTTCAGTGAGATAACTTTCTTTGAACCTTGTGAATCCTCTTTTTCATGGATGCCTCAGTGTTAAATTTTATTGGAACATCTGGGAGAACAGCCAAACCTATCATTTTATAGAAGATAAAAGACCATTTTTAACTCTTTAAAGAAGAGTTTTGACCCTGAAATGGCTAATAACGTCAGATGTCAAAAATATATTTTTCTATAGAAAGCACTCAGAGATAGAAAAATGTACTTGTAAGATTGTGTGTGTGGAAATGGGCCAAGTGGAGCAGAAAAGCACTATATAAGTGCAAGTCCATTATCACATCAGGATAGCCAGTGTCAACTTTAAGAAAATATTTTGTGTTTTGTATGATTAGCAGCATTGGCCAAATAGATTTCTAAGATTTGCAATCATTTATATAAAGTTTAGATTTCTTTCTAAATTAAGTGTTATAATATTCCGGTGTACTTCCGGGCCTTTGCTCTGTTGACAGGAATCTGGTCTTATTTTGTTGAAGGGATACAAATTGGATTATATTAACAGATTTTAAATTATGACAGGAATTTTAAAGCTGCATGAGAGCTCTTTTGTTTGTCACATTGTAGCTCTTACGGTATGTTTTTGAATGTACACAGGAAATCTTTGATACCACATGAACAGGATAATACGTATAATACAGAGATTCATCTGTTAATCTGTCAAGTGTGCAACCTCCCATTGTTTAATCCCCCTTACTGCACTGCACTGTCCATTACACTTGAGCCACTTAATGTTATCTAATTTTTGCATTTTGACTACATTTTAAATTCTGTTTTTTTGCTTTGTGGAAAATAAGGGCGCTCTACCTTCTGAGGCACAACCTCAAAGGTAGGCGTGGCTCAGGAGGTAGAGCGGGTGTTGAACATGCTCTTCAAGTGCCCACCTAGAACATACAATAGTTTTCCTAATAAAAATACAGTACTATTATAAAATTATATTTATTGTCAAAGCTTGTTGAAATAGGTAAAGGTGACAGACTTACACTTTCATCCACAGCATAGGTGTTAATAAAGTGAGCCAGGAGATTACAACACCACAGAAACAGAACCTCTCCCAGGACATGCGGTATGAGACCACTGCAAACACACAAACACTGCTATGATGGTTGGAGGTGAAAGATCACAATATCTGAGCAGGACAGACTGTACTAATAAAAGCATGACTCACACATAGAAGCCAGCAACTCCTTCCTCCTTGAAAATCTTGACCATACAGCTGAGCATCCCACTAAAAATCAGACAGACCTTTAATATCATCTTGCTTTTTTATGTAGATGTGAGTGTAGAATGTTTCTTTTAATCCACTTTCTTCATCTACAAAACACTTGTATGAAATTTATGTATAAACCAAAGTCTTACCCATACTTGACTTCTCTGCCAACAAACTGAGCCATGCAGCGTACCGACATAACTGCCAACGCAGAAAGGTTTATCAGATCATTTCATCCGGACAACATAACACTTTCACGAGGACTGGGAACATGCTACATACTGTAAACTGCAAACAAAGATTGATGCCTAAGAATAGTTCAATATGTAAACAAGTCTGTTAGTCCAACATGAGATTCCTGCTTCATGTGACGACTCAAATCACTACCTTCACATTTTAGGCCACTGTTCACAATCAGGCATTAAAAGGAGTTACAAATTTTCAAAGCACGCAGTAAAGACAGAATTCAATTAAAAATACTTAATCAGTAGTTAAAAACAACAGAAAAAGAACACAGTACTTTTTTTAGTTATACTGACGACACACATTTATTTAGAATACAGACACATTTTAATCATATGTTGACAGAGTGCTTTGTTCTATAAACTTTGAGCACTTTATCTACCTCAGACCTACATTCACTTTAGACTCACAAACATGCGTCTCTTTAGATTGTGGGCGGAGCCACAGAACCCATTGGAAGCTCAGGAGCTGGAGTTCAAACCAGGAAATCTCTTCCTCTAAGGTGACTGCAGCACTATTTTATTTTACTAATCTCTGCATAGCTTTTTTTATTTACTCAAAAGAAATGTTTCATGGCAGAATAAACATTTCCGGTTGCTGACATACCATGAAAAGGATGGGTGGCTACTCTGGACAGGCACTGGATGATCATCTCATGTGAGGTCTGGGAGACAAAGCAATGTAAAGAGAACGTTTTTCAAAGCCAGAAATAGCAAGACAATGTCTACAAATATCCTCTGCTTTCCAGATTTTTCACTTGATCACCACTTGCCTGTCTCAAATTTGCCCAGAGAAATTCCAGGGAAAATATAAGAACTTCCTAACAGGAATTATGCACAATTTCTGGTCCCTACCAACATTTGGTTTCTCAAAAACGTATTTTAGGGATGAAGGTTGTTTCTAGACACTTTTTGGCATTTTTTAAGGAACATAATCTCTGATGAATCCTTTCAGGACCTGGTTGAAAATCTGCCATGAAGAATTAAGACAATTCTGAAGGCAAAAGGAGGTCCAACTCGCTTTTGGTCCATTTACGGTCCTGCAAATGACGGCAGGTTTCCCCATATATAAACAGTATAAAGTTATAAATATTACATTTTTTTATAATGACTATAATTAGCACTACTGACGGACAATGGGCGTTGAGGTCATTTTTCTTGATCATTAATTTGCAAATTGGGAAACCAATGGGAAACCTTAAAAACCAGGTCCAGTAGGAAGTAGTGGAAAACTTGTAGTAAGTAGTTCTAAGATGTTTTGCAAGGTTTTTATTTTGTGGCATGATACCACATTTCAGGTTTTACGCTGTGCCCTCACAATTTTCTGGAAATGCATTGATTAATCAAAAAGGATCCAATATTGTTTTCAAATAAAACCAAATCTATCAGTTACAGCATTTGATACTGATCATCATTGAACTATTTACCCTTTAAATTTAGGGCTTAAATGATTTTCAAATCATCGTATTCTGTCTTTTTCACAACTTATGAATAAGGAAACATTTGTACATCAGTTCAGCTACACTCTAAATGAAAGAAGTGAAGAACAGCCCTCACAGAGTTGTCTCACCTCTTTGACCACTTTCCTGAGTGAATTCTGCTGGTCGCTGTTTTTAAACAGGACGTCTATCTGCTGAACAAAGAACTCCGATTACCCTTCAAAACACACTATTGTGTAATCAGATATTTAAAGAACATAACATTCATCGACAACATCAATCATCTACAGCTCCACCTGCACAATCACTTAAAAACCCAAGTTTATTTTTGCAGAACCACAAATTCTTATGCATGTTTTAAATAAAATCATATGCGTGAGCACAGTGATTACACTTTACTGCCTGTCATTTCTCAAAGGCCTATTCAAGCACATCAGCTGTTCTTATTTGTAACTGGTAACAAATAAACAACATGTAAGTCCTTTGAACTTCACTAATATTTTGACTACAAACTGCAGCAACATTACAAAAAATTACAGACCATGTTTACATGAAAGGCAAAAATGAATTAATGGATAATAAAAAGGAATTGAAATTGATTCCTATTGTAACACTTCTGCTATCAAACTGTGCCCTGGCTGAAAATCCATATGTTACAGCAATGTGACAGCAGAGGATTATTATCATTATGAAAATTCACTGAATGGGAAAAAGCTTTGAATGTGCTTTTGTCAAAAACTGAACCAGTAATGACAACAACACTGAGCAGCAATAAAAACCAAATTAAAAATATTATTTAAAGAAAAAAAACCCCCAAAACATTAGCACAACATTGACATGAAACCTGAAATAACTTGTCCTCTGTCAGGACATCACAACAAAAAGGGAACACAAACACTGGAAATGGCATCCCACTGATTCAGGAGACTTTCCTCCAGACAAAAGCAGCCTGCAAAGCTGGGAGAGCTTGCTGTTAGTGATTCATACAGGAGAACGGTAAAAACCCAAGGTTTCTATTCAACACTGAATATTATTAATTTAGCTTTAATAATAAGGTGGCGGTAAATAAATCACTTCCTGTTCGAGCTGTTTCAGCCAATTACAGATCATTGAGACCACAGGCATGTCTCGAGTTTTAATCATCTTAAATTCCATCCACAGGTTTTTGGAAAACAATGACAATTTGATTTCATTTCATAAAACTGTAGTTGTGTTAGCGCAGTATAGTGTCAGACGAGTGCCTGTAATCTTCACACACTTGGCAAATGCCTCTTGTTTTAGAGGCATTTAAATACACAGGGGGAAAATCTTATTTGCAGCATGGCCCTGCTGGGGCCACATAAATATAAGCACAGTGACCCTGTGCTGCATCTGAAACACTGTGACGTGAAACATTCAGCAGCATGTTAAAGTAATAATTCAGTAACACTGCGGTATGGGAAAAGTCAGAGTGTAGTGTTTATACGTATTCGTTTTTAATACGAAGGCTGGTAAGGAAAGTCTAATATCAGCTGTTTAACAGTTTGGTTCCCACACTCTGTGTAAAGTACAGAGCGTGGCCTCATCATTGGCTATCATCATTGTGCTTCTGTATAAGCCTTTGCAATAGAACATATAGAACATATGCAGCTCCGTTTTTGTTCGTTATCTTTCAGATTTTAAAGAGTTACAATCAATACAATACTCCAGCTTGTCCAGGTTGAAATCCAAAGATAACAAAGGGAATTTTTAACAGTTTTATGTTAAGTTCAAGTTGAATCACAGAGATTCTTGATGGAGGTCACACTGTCAGAACTGCTAATTCAAATGACTTATACAGGCACCTCTGATGGATCCAGTTATAGAGAAACATCTGCTTATTCATCTTAGCAAGAAGGGTTGTACCCTTTGTACCATCTTAATCTCATTTCCTGCTTACCTGTTTAACTTTGCTCCTCACCACAGTAGAGATGGCACTGGATACAATACGTGGTGAGAGGCCACGAAGAAGTCCTCTCTTTCCATCCACCTTGACAATATGCTGCGCTGAAAACAAATTCATGTCCTGTAAAACGTTCATGCTTTGTCCAGTTAGACGATAAGTCATCCATTAATTACACTTCACTCACCATAAGAGAGAAAGCCGGGCAGGTATAAAACTCTCCTTCCAAACATAGTTGTGCCCACAGTCGGGGGAAGAGGCTCATGTCCCACCTGGAGACAACAGCAGTTTCAATTAAACAGATTCTCTACACGACCATTTTCTTTTATTCAACTACAGCTTCGGGTGTTTGCTTTCCAAGAACAGACTGGACGACTTAAACAACTGACCAAAATACATTTAAATCATTATTTTAAATCAGTGACAAACAGAACAATTCAGGTTTTGAAAAACAGACATAATGAGCCAAAATGAAAGAGTAAAAAATGTAAACACTGAATGAGATGAAATTAAAGAAAGATGACCATCTCAGCAACGTGTCATCAATTTGCCTTTTGGAATAAAAACGCCGCCCTCAATAAAAAACCAGTTTATCTGGATGTGCGTTTGCTAATAGTAAATCAGCTTTATTCTTAATCAAGACATAAAACAAAGTACACGTCTGACTAATATGTCAAATGAGAAATGGGTTGAGTATGAAAATTATTCTCATGGCTGGATTTTTGCAGACATGATCCAGATTTGGCCCGTGCAGATTAGCGTCTGCATACGACTGCAGCACTGTGACTCTGAATCAGGTGTTGAACCATAACACGTGTTTTTGCTGATAGTTAATTATAGCTTAAAGCTAATCAGAGTCTAATCAGGTGTAGCTTTGACCAATATCATGAATAAGAAAATATAATCTATAACAATGATTCCAATCACAGTCCTCTTACTGAGAAGCTGTGTAGAAACAACCTTGGAAAGTAAGTGTTCATGTGTGTGTGGAAAAGATGTGACGTGTGTGGGAGTGAGTGACACCAACGAGCCACTAATCTAAAAGGACGCCTGACTTCTTAAATACAGTGTGTAAGTGTGCTGTGTATTCTGTACAAATGTTTGTGTGCGATCTTCTCTGCTTAGGCTGCTGCCTCGATCAGCAGAAGGAAATGGGTGGATGGAGGTTTAAACTTTGGTTTATATCAGCTATGTGGAAAATTCAAACAGATAGAGAGAGAATGATAAGGGTGGCTGATCAGTTGTCAACCACATGACTGGATGTCACAATGGGTGAGGCCAGATGTCACCTGAGAAGCTGTGCCATTCTGTAACAGAGGTATAAAAATTAGGTGAAGAAGAGATTCAGGATTTATCTCTTTGTCTTCTGCAAGATAAGCAGTTAAGCTGACTGGAACAGTTCACAGTTGAAAATTCCAGCAGAGACACTAAAGGGATGTTGGGATGCTGTCCACACTGTGAACCTGCACACTGGCTTGTTTTTGTTTTTTACCCTTTTGCTTATTTTTCCGGTGTTAGATGAAAGAATCCGGGTTTGGGTTAGGATCTGGATTTCCAATCAACACGGAACAAAAGGATGAGTACATCTTCAGATCCAGTTGTGCTCACTGTCTCTCCAACCTTCTTCCTCACAAGATCTGAAAACTCAGCATTAGCTCAGAGTGGGTTCATTAGATAATCTAATTCAAGGGATTTAATCAGAGAAAAAAAACTGTTTGACACTGCTTTGCAAAGTTACACACCAATTCAATATTCATTGTAGTGACCTCCAATTGATGTGATCAGTGTCATTACTGCCAACATGAATTATGATTTTACTGAATCTACATTTATCCTGAACCAGCAGATTCATGTCTCCTTCAATGTCATCTGCTCTGACGCCTGAAAGACGATTAAAGCAGAATCACCAATAACTAGATAAAGTGTAGAACAACTAAATTTGTTTTGCTGTTATTTAGAGGCAAAAATCACAATAAAGGACCAATCATGTTAAGTGATGTGGTTTACAGATGACAAGCTAGAAGAAAAATCAGTGTAAAATTTCCACGTTTTTGGACATCAGTGTGCCAGAACAGCATGTTCACATTAAAGTCTGCACTGAAAAAAACTTAAATAAATCTTAAATACAGATGGTGAAGAGAGCTGTTGGGCACATTAGTTCAAAAATATTTCACAGGCGATCGCTGAAATCTAATGACTGTGAGGTGTACAGTCTACAGTCCTATCTAAAGTTATGGAATCACCAACCTTGATTTGAATAAAGTAAAACACAGTAAAAGCTCTGAAAGCACATCCTCAAACTACAGATGTGACACAAAACTATCAGTCCACACAGTTCAACCCAGCTGTCACAGAGTGACACCCAAGGTGCACGTTGGACAGGTCGTCCATCACAAGCATCTGCAGTGGATCGAAGCTATTTTATGTTTAAGAACTGGCTTCATTAAAGAGGCCCCAAACAAATCACATTGCTTTAATTAAAGTGAACATGAAACACTACAAGAGTAAAGGTTCATTTACACTATGGAGACCTGCTTTCAAAAGCGTAACACGTTTAGCGCCATCTTGTGCCACATGGCATCACCGACTTGGTTGGTTAGTTCTGGCTAATAGATTTAAGTATTATTCAGAGATTATCTCTCTCATAAAATCATGGAAGGACAGGCCCCAGCACGGTATGTACCACCAGCAGATAAAGGAGGTGGCCTCTGGTAGAGGATCCGAGCTTGAAGGATAGACCACCCGCAGGGGGGAGCAGGGAGTTATACATATCTATCTATATACATATACACACACACACACACACATATACATATATATATATATATATACCTAATTATTCAAAATAGTGAAAAGAGGGTGCTTGCAGACCTTAACAAGTTGTAACATCTGGCTAAGTAAACGAAAGCATGGACCCAAAATAAAGATGTAGCTTGTTCCAAGTCAAGTGTGTTTAAAATTTGGAGAAAATGGAAAACGGACCTCACAGTAGAGCCATCAGTCTTTGACTACAGGACTCGGGGCTTATAGTTTTTCCCGTCATCCAGCTTTTGCAATACATTTTCAGTGTTTAAAACAATGCTGGATGTTCATTCTAAGTTTGGAGGGTTTTACAGAATGAGCACAACAGAATGTCTTGATGCATCATCCAGGTAAGGAAATCCTAAAAAGTTTATTCTGTTCATCTGGACGTTTTAGTGGGAGAAACATTAGTGGCATCTTCAGTCTCAGCTGACTGCAGCTTTCCACCTGTATAAACAGTACATTTGTAAATGATTCGACGGAGCAGAAATAACTGCTTAGATTTACAGTATTTTTGAGGTGAGGCTCGGATTTAAAAGTCAAACGCAATTTCGTATCGATGAGGAAAACAAGACAACACTATAGACTCTTCTGCCCATAGCGGTTATAAATGTAACCCACAGCAAGCGATTACATTTCACTGCTAAGCTAAATGAGTAAATAGAAGCATGAGTTGACATATTTCCAAAAACAGCACGGAAGCTGTATATTCATATTCAGCCTCTATGATGACTGTTAGCTAGCTACATCGGCTACCTGTATTAGCAGCTTGACGTACAGCAGCGGGTGTGTGAGGGTTGTTACACCCGCTCCTAGCAGAAACACTGCGGTGTCCACGTCCACGGTGGTTGGTGTAGCATCCTGCGCGACACCGACTGCTGGACCATGCAGGTTTTCTGGCGACTCCATCTTTAGTTACCGTGAACGAGGGAGACGAATCATTAGCGTTGTGTATCAAACAACAAAAACAACTTCCGCTTTTCAGAATAATAGTTTAAGTGGAGACGTTTTCTAGTGAGTAAAACGCAGGCGTGAGTGAGAGCAGATTTCACAACGTATTCTGTCTAAAAATAGCTATCTGTTACCAAAACTCGTGAAGTCATAAAAACACGTGCGTGTACTTCTTATCTGCCACAGCCAGAGAGCTTCCTGTCAGCATGGACAGAGATTAACAGCGCCTCTTGGGTAGTCTGCCTTAAATTCTAGAAATAAATAATAAACATTGAAAGGCTTGTGTAGCATGCTGGTTAAAAACGTATAAACTGGTATATTTTTTCTTATAATGCTTAATTTAATTCTGGATCTAGAAGAAGCCGATTGGACGGACTTAATCTCGCTGTTTCTCACTATTTTATTTTAGTAGCAGTATTTTTCTTTTTCTTTTTTTTCTTTTTTTTTTAAAAATGATGCATTATTTTTAAATATTCCTGACGAAATCAGGAACCACAAAAAAACAACAACAAAAAACCCCCCAAAAAACCGTTGTATGCATATGGTCATTTCTGATTACATACATACACGACTATCAGCCTTCCATGCTTCAAAATAGCAGTGCTGTTCATGGCTCAGTCAGCTCATCCATCCATTCACTTACCTAACACATAACAAATGTTTTTATTTTTTTGTTTTTGTTTTATTTGATTTTTAAAGTCAGTTACATCCCCGAAGCAACTCAATTTATCAAATAATATGAGATCGTGCAAAAATAAAAATAAAAACTAGATAAACATAAAAAGGAAAATGCAACATTTTTGTAAAAAGGACAAGAGATGAAGCAGGAAATTATCAATCTAGTGATAACAAAAACAGTTAAATAAAAAATGTAATTGGTTGCAAAGCAATAAATCTCACTATATGTTGCTGTCAGCTGAATTCTCTATTATTATTATTTTTTATTATTAGTAGCAGTAGTAGTAGTATAAGTATTATTATCCTTCCTATTCTTTCCCACACCGTTTGTCATGGAGGCAGAATTTTCACACCAAATCAACCAATGAGATGTATGTTTTACATTTTTAGATTTTTGTATTTATTTATTTCAAAGAATTCACCTAAAAAAAATTGTTTATTTATTTTTTAAATTTCTCTGGCTCTTGTTAAATTCCCAGTAACCCCAGTATGAGAAGTCTCGACCGTCTCTCCATTTAAAGAGTCACTCTTTAAATATCACTTGCTAGGGACTTAATTACGCCGATGTCAGAGGGGCATGCCTAGTTCTATTTGCCTACGTCCTGAAGCTGAGCTTATACACTCACTGAGTAGCCTTAAGCACAGTTACTAGCCTCACCCATTAACAGCAGTGCTCCCATTAATGATCAGAGAAATTGTGGACACCATATCAGCCTATTAGAGCACTTCGCTCTCGCTCTGCAGGCCTACTTCTTGTTCCTAGAGTATTTAAAAGTAGAATGGGAGGCAGAGCCTTCAGTTTTCAGGCCCCTCTTCTGTGGAACCAACTTCCAGTTTGGATTCAGGAGACAGACACTATCTCTACTTTCAAGATTAGGCTTCAAACTTTCCTTTTTGCTAAAGCATATAGTTAGGGCTGGACCAGGTGACCCTGAATACTCCCTTAGTTATGCTGCAATAGACATAGGCTGCCGGGGGATTCCCATGATGCATTGAGTTTTTCCTTTCCAGTCACCTTTCTCACTCACTATGTATTAATAGACCTCTCTGCATTGAATCATATCTGTTATTAACCTCTGTCTCTCTTCCACAGCATGTCTTTATCCTGTCTTCCTTCTCTCACCCCAATCGGTCGCAGCAGATGGCCCCGCCCCTCCCTGAGCCTGGTTCTGCCGGAGGTTTCTTCCTGTTAAAAGGGAGTTTTTCCTTCCCACTGTTGCCAAAGTGCTTGCTCATAGGGGGTCATATGATTGTTGGGTTTTTCTCTGTATCTATGAAGTGCCTTGAGGCAACTTATGTTGTGATTTGGCGCTATATAAATAAAATTGAATTGAATTGAATTGAATTGAATTAATTAGGTACGTCTGTGTACCTGCCAGCCAGGACAGGCTGTCCACCTTTCTGAAGGTTGTTGGATTAGTCCCTCCAGTCTGCATCTTAAAGAGTCTTTGGGCAAGATACTCAACCCTGAGTTGCCCCAGTTACACAAGGTATTGTTGTTTGGCATTGTCCATTGTGTTGCCAGGTATGTTTTTAACAAGGATTTACAGTACAAGCAGAGGGAGATATTTTTATTTTAAGCCAACATGAAATAATCATGAGAAAGTGTTTATAGAAACTTTCAGGTCAGGTCATCGAGACAAATCATCTGCTCCAGTCTGCAGGCCAAATATCCCTGAGTGAATGATGCATGTGTTACAAAGTGCTTTGAGAGCCCTGAGAGAGTAGACAAGTGCTTTATAAGAATCAGTTCATTTATTTATATGTTAGAAATGATACAGCGTGCTAAAACAGATGTCATCTATATGTGCTTTTGCTAGAGGTAAATCATCTCTAATCAAAATATAATCAAAGTATAAATCTAATTAATGTGTTGAATGAGAAATGCAATTTGAGAAATAAAAATTATTCCAATGTTTGGTTTTTGTGTGTGTAGACATGATTCCTGATCAACCTTGGCAGATGTGTGTGTGTGTGTGTGTGAGTGAGTGCAAGAATGTGAAAGATAAGATAGTACGAGTCTCCACCCAGCATTATCCACAATTCTGAGTGAGAAAAATGGTATTAAAAATGTTGTAGATGCTAAACACAGAATCATAATTTACAATGATTTCAATGCAGCAGACCCCTCAAAGCACTCGGAGGGATCTGCTGATAGTTCATCATGCTATTAACTATCAGTAGACCCTCCAAGCATCTGGGTCATTAAAACATGGCCAGATAAATAGTAGTCCTGTAGTAGAAGAGCAAATGCTCTTGGTCCGCGTTTGGGTGTGACTCCAAATCCAGACCTTCAATTGATTTCCATTGATAATTTTTGTGTGATTTGAAACAAAGTATTTAAAGTACTTAATAAGAATATTTCATTCATTCAGATCTGGGATGTCTTATTTTTGTGTACATATAATTATACACACACACACACATATATATATATATATATATATACATTTTTTTTCTCCTGCACAGTTGGCGTGGAGCACCCATACTTTCGTTGCACATGTACAATGACAATAAAGGGCTATTCTATTCTATTCTATTCTATTCTATTCTATTCTATCCTTAACTGCTTACAAACTGATCATAAAATCATCTGTAAGTTTAACCAATAGAATTAATAAGAAAATTCAATAATGATTGTAATAACAGGCCTTCTATGCCAGAAACATTAAGTTAGGTGACTGATGTGTATATACATCTACATGTGTTTGTATCGTCCCTTTAAATGTTTTCCCATCACTCGTTTCATGTTGGTTTGAAATAAAATATCACCCTCTGCTGGTACTGCAGCTTACTGCGATTTGAGCACGCGTGCACATTTCAAACTTCAAATAGAGTCAAACTGTGACATTCACACAGTGGACCAGAGTGCCTGTTACACACTTGCATGATGTCAGGTTTAAGTGCTAGGTTCATTCTACACACGTGAACAACTCAAAAACAAGCATGGAGTAAAAGGCAGACACTGCAGATCAGTTGATTTACTGTCGTCATGACAGATGCTGGTTTCAGCTCACTGAGCATTTCCATTTACGCTGACAGACACAAGCCCTCAGACTGCTGTTAGATACATCACTTCACTAGACCCTTTTATTCTGCTGCTATCTAAGCCAGAGGTAGTAAAAATTAGGCTTAAAGTGCAATCTTTTCTTCTATCACAACAGCCTGTGTCCATGCATCTTTCCTCAGTCTGACACTACTGATTTTACTGTCATGACTAAATGAAAAACAGACATAAAATATTTTTGCCTTGCCTTTATACAAATGGTCATTGGTCAAATTAAATGTGTTGCCCTGTTAATAACCAGTATGGCTGTACTACTGAACAGCATTAGTGACTAATGCTTGTCCTTCTAGACGTCAGAGTGCTGCAGTGGTTTCAATCATATCTGATCACATGTCACATGTTGAACAGACTTCTGTGTTGGGACCAATACATTTTGCACTATACCTTAGACCAGTGGTTCCCAAACTTTTTTGCTGCGCCCCCCTTTGTTTTACAAGAAAAATGTTGCGCCCCCCCGCGCGCACAAACACATCCTCCAACCACACACACCCATATTTTGCTCCATTGCGGTTTATGTCATAACTCAAACATTTAGTAAACAATTAAGCAAATACAAGTAATCTGCAAATTGCAGGTAGTAATAAAATAAACTACTAACTCTTTTACGCTACGTCCACACCCACACGGATATTTTTGAAAACGCAGCTATTTCGTCCACACGGAAACGGCGTTTTTGAATCACCGAAAACAGAGATTTTTTTTAAAACTCCTTTTTGCGTTTATGTGTGAACAAGGAATACAGAGTTCATCATGCAACGTCAAAGGTATGTGCCTTTTTTCACGTCACGCTGTGCGCCACGTTATTGTTTACATGAGATGAAT